TAGCACACCTTAAAACTATATTTCTTCACACACACACACGCACACACACACACACACACACATATATATATATATATATATATATATATATATATATATACACACACACACATATATATACACACACACACACATATATATATATATATATATATATTAAGACATTTTTATGTTTATACGTTCTTTTATATATGTCTTAAAATAATTTTCGGACTTTTTCCATTTCATAGTGTGTGACGTCTTATATTATATATATATATATATATATATATATATATATATATATGTGTATATATATATATATATATATATATACTTTCTAAGTTTTCTTTTCAACATGTAAATAATATGTAACATTGTTGTTATTAAACTTCTAAATTCATAGCATTTTAAAAACTAAAGTAAATTAATAGATAGCAATACCAGTATCGAGAGAGAAAGTGTGCTTTTGACATTTTTTTTGCAGGTACAACTGTCAAACTTTTCCCACTTAACATCGGAATTTACTTACTACCTAGATTTAGTCTAGGTCTAAAATAACGACCGAGAAGAAAGCGAATAATAATAATAATAATAATAATAATAATAATAATAATAATAATAATAATGGAGCAACAGAAAACACACCAATGCCTGAGGAGCACTTGACTGTAAGCTGAAAGAGAAGGCCTAATTATTGCAGCCTAGGACCAAAACCTCGCCACCAGATCCTATCATTGCCATATAATCAAGGATGGAATTAACTCGAAATGCAGGATCTGCGGAAAATATGATGGAACTGTCAACCATATTATCTCAGGATGTCCGGAACTAGCATAAAATGAATATATCCACAGACATAACATATTAAGCGAAAGTCAGGCAGAATAATAATAATAATAATAATAATAACAATAATAAAATGAAAGTTGAATGACATTAGAAGACTGGATGCCAAGAGGAGAAAAAGGTTTACCCCAATGAGGAGACATAACCCGAAATCAAATGTTGATAGTCTGTACGTATCAAGAGCTTTAGGAGGCCGAGGTCTAATCCAACTTGAATTAACTCTAAAAACTACAACAGTCGGATTGGAAGCGTACCTCACGAAAACTAATGACCCTCTTCTACAAATAGTAAAACACCAAATGCACTCCATCAACAAAGAAGCTGCACTCTTCAAGAAACAGCTTAATATACCCGAAACCCTACCGACAAAAAACGAAACGAATAGCATCTACTCCAAACGAGTAAAACAGAAAGCAAAACAACTTGGCCAAATTAAATTATAAAAAACTGGGAAGGCGTTGTATGGCAAATACATAAAAAAGAACGAAAGAAGCAGATGTGAACCAACAGAAAACACATCAGGGGCTGAGGAGCACCGGTTTGAAAGCTGAAAGAGAAGGCCTAATTATTGCAGCTCAGGACCAAAACCTCGCAACCAGATCCTATCATTGTCACATAATCAAAGATGGAATTAACTCGAAATGCAGGATCTGCGGTGATTATATGATGAAACTGTCGCTATATTATCTCATACATAACAAGGTAGCGACATAATTGCGCTGAAAGATATGCAAGAAGCACAAAATCGAAACCACTGAGAGATGGTATGAGCATCAACCAGACAAAGTTACCCAAAATAACGATGAAACTATCCTCTGGGACATGCCAATTCAAACTGACAGGGAAATAAAAGCCCACAGTCCTGATATTATCATAAAAGACAAGAAATTCAGGAAGTGTATGCTTATTGTCATAGCAGTACCATCTGAGAGAAACACCCCCATAAAAATTATCGAGAAATTGTCCAAATACAATGGAGATTAATAGGATATGGGAAATGAAGACTGAGACTGTACCAATGGTAATCGGAGCACTGGGCCTCGTGAGAAAAGGAATTGACAATTTTACTAACAGTGTCCCAGGTAACATCAACATACATATTGCCCAGAAGATCGCCCTACAAGGAACATCCCATTAAAGAAAAGTGCTATCAGTTAAATGACAATTCTCCTATAGGGGCTAAGGACAATAGTTTGAACCCGACTCTACAGGATGCAAAGCAGGAAATATAATCTACACAAATAAAATAATAATAATAATACAACAGATTTTTATATCACTTATGAGGCAGGCTACCAATTTGACTTTATTGAACCAATCAGACTTATATAAAAGGCTTTATCTATGTCAAATATAGGTGCCCTTATTTTGTTTTATAGTTATTTTTATTTTTTTTTACAAAACTGTTCATTGGAAAATGTCATGATGTCATTTCTGACCTTAGGTCTCTGGTTGGGACCCCGAATGAAATGTGTATACAACAGAAATCAAAAGAAACAACAACAACAACAATAATAATAATAATAATAATAATTATTATTATTATTATTGAGAAATTGTCCAAATACAAGGATCTGGAGATCGAGATTAACAGAATGTGGGAAATGATGGCTGAGACTGTACCAATAGTAATCGGAGCACTGGGCCTCGTGAGGGAATGAATAAACGATTTTACTAACAGTGTCCCAGGTAACATCAACATACAAGTTGCCCAGAAGATCGCCCTACTAAAAACATCTCATCTACTAAGAAAAGTGCTATCAATTAAATGATAATTCTCCTATAGGGGCTAAGGACCATAGTTTGTACCCAACTCTATAGCATACAAAGCAGGAAATATAATCTACACAAATAATAATAATAATAATAATCAGTTGGATATAACCCTTAGGCGTTGAAATCACCGAAGTTAAGCAACGTCGAAGCCTGATCAGTATAGAGAAGGGGGACTTCTTGGGAATACCAGGTGTTGTAAGCTTGGATGTGCAGGTGGTGTAATCGATAACGGAGATCGAAGAGCCAAGTTCCACTTCCAGTCGGGTCGTTCTCCTAGCTATGGATTAATCAGTAGGACTTTTACCAGTAAATAATTACTATCCCCAAAAACGTCTAACAATTTAAGAAGAAAAATCTGGTTTTAGATAACCTGCAAATCAATCAATCAAACCCTTAGGCTTATCTGTTCATGAGCGGGAGTACGGAGAGTGGGGGGTGCTGCGGTGGAGGAGCTTGAAGGGAATTTCTTCTTAAGTCTGAAGCAACTCAAGTGATTTGGGGTCCTGTTGTGGAGTGATTTCGCAGTGGAGGCTTGTATTTGTACTAAATAGGTTCGATATACAAAACGTTAGGAACTTGATAAAATAAGTATAACGCAGAGTAATCTAGTTGTGGTCGCTGATACTT